CAAGTAATCCATCCTATTTTAACTACTTTTCAAATACCTGCTGAATTTATATATTTACTGGAATCAGAAGTTTTTAATTGTGCCAAAACTACAAATAAAAACTCAAATTCAACATGGAGACAATTTGGATTATGGGCTTTTTTTGCAAACAACTCTTCTATCAACAAGCAGTTTCGTAATCACTGTCAGTGCCTCTGGTCCACAGTAAAATATGCATATCAGCAATACATAAAAGCAAAAAAACTTTTACCAGAGCAAACAACAATATCTGAAGCACTTTGTCGAAATTTAAAAGACAAGAAAATTATTGCTAGTGTATTAAATGATGAGATGACAAAAAAAGATGCCAATATAAAGGGATATCACCATTTATTTGATCCACAATGTTTTAAGAATGCTCTTGGAGAAACAATGGTGGATCTATATACTTTTCCAAGTTCTGATATCACAAAAAGTGCAAAGATAGCAGTAGAACAATACTATGTTCACATGCTTGATAATCCATCTCACCAGTCAAAAGAATTTTCAAAAGAATTAGTTGAGCATTTTGGTGCTTTTACAAGCAATAACAATGAGCCCTATACAACATCAAATACTGCCTCAACACACAACTGGGATCATTTAAAATGTGTTCAAGGTTTAATACAAGGCCTTCAACCATTATCTAATGCTGTTAATGGTTTTATCAGAGATATGTATCCAGCCTTGTATGCAAAAATGAGAAAACTTGATCTTGGACCAAATGTCCCTAAACTGTTTGGTGCTTTCCCCACTGTGGCAGTTAATTTCAACATCATCTCTCAGTTCCATCAAGATCTAAAAGATCACTGTAATTCACTTTGTGTAGTCTGCCCACTTGGGTTATTCAAGGGTGGACAATTAGTGTTTCCAGAACTTAAATTAGTTGTTCATGTTAAAGAGGGTCAAGCAGTGGCTTTTAGGTCTAATATTTTAGTTCATGGAAATTACCCAGTTCTTACAGGTGTACGTCATAGTGTTGTATTTTTTATACATAGCACTATGATTAAGCAAACCAGAAAATTTGGCACACTATTTAACAATTCAGATACGGATATATGCACAAATATTAAAAAGAAAAAAGCCAAATCCTCAAAATTGGGTTCACGGTCTTTAAAAATGAAAAATTCTAGACGAAGCCATCTCAGTAAGTGTAACAGCTATGTTAAAATTATATATAGTTGTTCTTTAAACTCAGTATTTATTTTTGCTTCTGCTTATTTAAGATATTGAGCCAGCAAAAAGAGGTTTACCGGCAAAATACAAAAATAATTAGCATTAGATTGTAATATAATCAAATATAATGTAATTAAGCAATTCCGACTAAATTTTTACCATTTTATATTAATTTTGAATACACAAAATTTGAATCAATTATACTATGTATAGAGTTGATAAAGGGTGTTCTCAAGTGCCTTAGTCTATTGGTCGGAATAGGTCGGGAAGCAAATTTTAATTAGTAAAAAAATGGGGTTCCGAATTAATTGTATTTAAATATTGCAATGGATGATGTATAGCTGCAATTATCGGAAGACTGTTTAATCGATCAAAAGTAAATCAGGCCATGGCTTGTACTCGTATCATCCACTAAACCTCCTAAATAACCGTTATCTATATGTATTCGAAGCGAATACCGGATTACTTTTTGGATGCTCTAAGGATAATATGAACAAGCCATCACTTTAAACTACAATGTTGTGATTTGTCGTCGCATAAGTTACTAGTGTTGCAAACTAGTAATCTAACACACAATTAGGCGGCATCCATAATTTACGTTAAACCAGTACTGTATTATATAGAAATAGAAACCTTAATGATAATGCCATATAATATTATTTTTATATTGTTCTTAAGATTTCTATAATAATACTGGTTTAACGTAAACTATGGATGCCGCCTTAGTACAAATGCAATACATTCGGGAGTTTCGATTTGTAATTGAACAGGCTCATACTCAACTATCATTTGTTGTACATATGACCAATCGTTTGCTGTTACTGTCAATAAACTTTATGCCTGGTATTGGCACAATGCTGGTGTCAATGGCTACAGTAGTACTGATGCTCCAAATTTTAATCAAGTTAGACCGTGCCTTATTTGTATTTCCAATCCTTATTTAATTTACAATGACAAATAAATTTTGAAAATCGTGATTTTATAAGTTCAAGCTTATATTAAAATTTAATCAGCGATACGTACGTACCTGATTTTAGGTAGGTTTGATTGAACCATAATTCAAGTGGTTCAACGGTTAACCCGTTATTTCTTGAACGGTTCAAACCTCTAGCTAGAAGTTATTAAAAAAAAAAAACAGGATTAATAATACAACTAAAACTTATATATTAGAAATTCACCTAAAATCTCACTAATAGTAAAAAGGTATAAAAATTAACGTACTTCCTCCTGATTACAAATATATAATTACAATATATAGTATATATATATATATATATATATATATATATTAAATATACTAAACGTAGATTACGTAGATTACAAATTTGCGGAATTTGCGGGGAAGATCTGCCTCAACCATTCCTATATTTGGGTATTTGATATAATAACACGTGTGCAACCTATGCAACATATTCTAAGCCTATAACAGTATAAAAGAAGCCAACTTGCCATTTACCGTTTTTATCCCACGAAACTACTATATCAATACAGCAATATGACTAGTCCAGCAACTTTAATAGAAAAAGGGCATGCTGAAGTTGGAGGAAAACATCGCACTGATAAAATAGAAAGTTTAAAGATTTATTATGAAATACATGGAAATGGGCCTAATAAGTTATTTTTTATCATGGGTATGTTAGAATTTTTCTCTCTGAGTAATTATGTTCGAACAATAAAGTACACAATATATAATAGGATTGAACACAACGTCGGGGAGTTGGGAATATCAGGTATTGATCAAAAAAATGAATTTTAAAAGTTAAAAAAAAAGAGTCATGTACGAATGTAAACCAAACTTTAACGCAGGTCAAACATTTTGGAGAACATCCTGACTTCCAAGTTTGCGTCTTCGATAATCGTGGAGTTGGATGGTCAGGTTCGTCATTACTTTGATTACTGCAATTGCCGTAATTACTGGGATTTCTGTAATTTCTGTAATTTCCATGATTACTGTGATCGCTATAAGTAGGGTTGTCAACGGGTGGGTTGGATTGATACCTACTCCATTAAATTAAACTTGCTCCAGATTCTACTCCAGGTTGCTCTAGATCTGCTTGGATTGCACCAAGTTGCACCAAATTTATATACATATTTTTTAAATCACTCCAACTTGGGTTGGGTTCAACCTGGTGTGACTCCGGAGTATGCCACTCCATTAACAACCCTAACTGTAAATACCGTAATCGCTGTAATTGCTATAATTGCCATAATTACTGCTGTAATATATCAAATCAAGGATTTTTAAAATTCTTTTATGGTAATTCAAATAAATTAAAGATGCTCCTAGCGGATTATACAGGTAAATCAGCAAATCATAGAATATAAGAGTATGAAGTTCTATTATTTAATCCAACATATTGTTATTTATTAGTACGAGTCAAATGGCTCAGGACGCAATCGGTCTTATGGAACATATCGGATGGACAGAAAATATCCATGTAATTGGAATATCTATGGGCGGTATGATCGCTCAAGAATTGGTTTCATCAAAACCTGAATATGTGAAATCTTTGTGCTTGACTTCAACAACTGCAGGAATGACTATACCTCCAGTAAGTTATGTCGTTTTTTATATATAGCTGATAGTATTAAAAAATTTTTAAAAAATATATTTTTTTTGCAACAGATTGCCGCCATTACAACAATCACTAGAATCCTCTTTATAAAAGATCCAAAGATTAAAATAAATGCAATTGTGAAAATAATGTTTACAAAGGTAATAAACAAAAGCAAAATTTATATTTAATGACAATTGTGATATAAAAAGTAGTTGTTTTTTTTTTTTTGTAGGAATGGTTAGCGGCATCTGCCCCTCCTGGTTCTCCACACAAGAATAATGAAGAACGAATAATTGAGGTAATACATCTAAATTTAATTTTTTACTATTTTGTTTATTGATTCAAATGATTTAAATAATTCTCGCTCTAAAATATTATTAGGATTTGAACAAACGAATCAATAGAACTCGCCTTCAACCAATTAACGGTATTCTATGATTTCTCTTTTCAATAAAACCATTAAGCCACTAAACCACTAAACCGCCAATTTATTCTACTTGCAGGTGCAATTGGTCAAATAGCTGCATCTCTCCTTCATTATGTTTCTCCAAAGCGACTTCAGCAAATTCGAAGCTCTATCCCGCATGTACGTTTTGTTTTTTTAATAACATCCATTGTATCTTTTTGAGCATGTTGCGATAATAATCCAAGTTTACCAACATTATAGATATTAGTAATAACTGGTGGATGGGATAATTTCGTAAGACCTAACAACAGTTTTTATCTCGCTAAACACCTTCAAGCCGATTTTGAATATTGGGAAGGTAATCAAACTTTAATATTTTGTATTTTTATTGGTGGTTTTTTTTTTCTCTAATTGAAATTAATAAATTAATTTAAAATCTAGGTTGCGGTCATGTTCCGTGTGGTGAACAAACCGAAAGATATAATGCCTCGTTAGAGAAACATTTTAGAAAAGCCGGGTTAATTCATTCATCACATACTTAATAAAATGTGATCTTTGTATTTATATCAAGGTTCAAAGGTTAAAATAATAATTACACATTGTATTCTACTCAAAGTAGCAAAAATAATTGATCCAAAATAAATTTTAATACTATTTGACATTTTTCTATTACATTTTGCATTTCTCTCTATATTATTAAAATCAAATGATCTTTATACAAAGGCTAAATAATTGAGTGTCTTTTAATTTTTTTTTTTTTTTTTTTGAATGTTAACTTCATCTGTTGTACTTCTATCATATATTCTTTTCATTACGATTATTATACAACAATAACCTGACTATTACTTTGTTTCTTTAGGAACATCTAAAACATAATGGGCATCAACGTACCTTTCGGCATTATCATCGTCTTCAAAAGTAAGTAAATATTTTAAAGATACTGATAGTTTACTTGGTGGAAGAACTACGTCAGCTTTATAAAAGCACGTTGTACCCGGATACAATGCTATAACTGTTGAAGATTGTGGAAACTCTGGCATCCACATTTCACCAGGTTTTGGAATTATTAACACGTTTTTTGACGGTACCGAAAATCGTCTACATTAGACGAAAAAAATGAGTTAAAAAAATATAGAATGTGGTAAAGTTCAAAACGTGAAAAGGGTTAAAGTGAGAAACTTACTCTCCAGGTCTGTTTGAGGCCTCATCTCTATCTGCATCTTCAACTTCGTAACTTAATTTGTATATATGGGTTATTGAGATGAAAAATAATCATTAAAATTTACAATTATTTTTACCTTTTCATATCAGGTATATATCCTACAACTATGGCCAAAATCCAGTTCTCTTCGATATCTTTATGTTTAGGTTGTTTTGCTGCAACCTACAAAGAGATATATATATCACGTGTTAGAACTATTTACATTTTGTTGAGGAATATTCTAACACCTACATATGTTCCATTTTTAATAATACTACGACTCTTTGAATGTGACCTAATTACAGTAATAGCATTGAAAATTTTTAATGACGCATGAACTTTGAAATAAAAATTATAAATTATTATATACCCTTTCGACTTTTTTATTAATGTAGCCACATCTTTACTCTTCTTTTTTTTATAAGTATTTTCCTCAGCACTTAAACCTTCTATTATAATAACGACGATAAAGAATCATATAATTTATAATGAATGATATACTAGTCTAAATTTATTAAAGATTAGAAATAATACTGTACCTGAATGTGTACGAAAATCTTTATCAGATTTCAACGCATGATATTTATCGATAAGTTTGGTAATTGTTTTACACATACTACAAAAATTAAAAGAAAAGAAAGAAATAATTTTAAAATCAAAATTAAAAGTTTAACATGATTAAAATAATTAATTACTCTTCTTCACGAACTGCTTGGTCAATGGCTTTTTTGTATAAATCTTTGAGGGTTCCTTTAACATCTGGGGCTACATATCCAGCTGGTTTAAAAGACTATGTAATTTATTTACTGTTATTTGATTGGATAAAATTTTTATTTATAGTAAAATTATATACCACACTGTATTTTTTCATGGTATTTATTTATTGACTTGATTAATTCTATGCCTTCTTGTTCGATTCTTTCTAGTGAGTCAAGATTTTCACAAATTCGGGCCCATAAAATGTCTACTTCTAATGATTGGCGTGAAGTTTCTCCAGGATATTTTTCCATGTTTATTTATCAAAAAAAGGTCGGAATCCCGGATGAATTTATCTGGATTTACCCTCATGTGATTTGCCTGCGATGTCTGTATATGATAGAGATGTTGATTGGTTCCATTTTATGTATTGTCACCGCAGCTATCCCTTAACGGATTGTCTCTTACATGACATATAATCAACCAATAAAAACAATAGTCAAAGTATTCAATTATATTCGTACCATCAAATGATTTTGATACTAAATTTCAAACAAACAAATTAATTTGATTGTTTAAAATTTTGAATTAAAATAACCATCAAAAAATGTTCTTGTGTTCTTGTATTATATTACTGTATACAGTATATATATTTTTTTATAATAGTTCGTGTTGTTAACCAAATTTAAAATAAAAAACTTGCTTTAAATTAATTATTTTATTAAAGTTTGGAAGTATAATAGCATTAAAGTTTAAAAAGTATAAATACGTATCTTTTTTTTTTCAGATATATATTATGTAATTCTTTTGATTACTAAGATTATATTAATTGTTTCAAGTAGGTTAGTATTTTTTTTTTTTAAAAAACTATAAATTTGCTTGAAACTTTGTAAAGTATTTAATAAAACCAAAAAAATATTAATAATATGTCGTCGGGTGATACGTAGTAGCGAAATTAGATTTAGATTTAGATTTAGGTTAGGTTTAGAGTGGAGCTTAATATATATATCATAAAAATATATCTAGTGATGGAACTTCGAGTTTAGCATAGGTGAAGTTTTCTATGATTGGTTAAAAAAAGTTTAAAAAAAATTTAATACCTTCTTTGTGTTTTATATATGCTCTTGAAAGTTAATCCGATATAAAGCTCTTAATCTTTTTAATTCTATAAAATCTATTTAACGTATATATATTTAACCAATCACAGAAAACTTCACCTATGCTTCGAGTTTTTAGCTGTTAATATAATTGATTAATAATAATTATTAATTATTATTATTAATCCAAGAGGTCCTATCGCTAGTTATAACTCGAAAGATGGTTTTGGATTCTTTTAGTATAGTTTTAATATATATGACTCATTAATAGGGTATGCTATATATTAATCAAGAGTCAACTATACTAAAATGATCCGTGGTTTTATATGCATAAATTTGAGTTATTACAAGTTGCATTTTTTAAATTTCTAACCTCACGAACTGATTAACTTGGTTACTACTAATTAACACATATCAATAGGTTTGCTCTATTTTATACAAGTAATTTATTTAAACATTAATAAAATTTATATTATTTTATTAAAAAGTTTTTTATAATGGTGGGTTTCAAAATCAACATTCGAAAATAAGTAATATTTTTATTACGTGAAATTGTAAATCAAAAAAAAAAATAAAATAAAAATTTCAGATTTTATGTTCTTTTTTTATAAAAATAAAATTTAAAGTTTAGTGTTAGGGAACTATCACTTATTACGTAATTACAGCCCCCAGGGCTTAAACAACTATATTGAAATGCCGGACATTCAAAAGTGTCATTCTTGATCTACAGTATATTAGAAATTAATTTACTGATATAGTGAACAATAAGATGCACATTAACTAATTTGATGAATCAAAAAAAAACACTTTAAACAATAGCAATGGCGCAGTAAATGTCCGGCAAATTAATATAGTCGTTTAAGCCCTGAGCCCCCCTCCAGAGTCAGTCATTTGACAATTACAAGTTCTAAAGTAATCAATCGTTTGACAATTGTAAGCTCTAAAATAACCAATCGTATAGAGTTTATATTATGATTACTTTAGAACTTGTAATTGTCAAATAACTGACCCTGGAGGGGCTATAATTACGTAATAAGTGATAGCTCCCTTAGAAATGAATGAAATTGAAAAATATATTATATTTATATATAAAATTAAATATTAAAAACTTTTCTTAGAACTTAAAGACAATTTTCATAATAAAATTTTAAAGCATTATTAATTTTTTATTTTTTAAAAAAAAAAGTTTTTACAATATTATATAGTAACATTTGTTAGTGCACGTTCTCTTAATAAAATTTCTTTAATACAAGGTCTTTTTTGGTTTCAATACATATAAGTTTATATAGAACAATTTTTGTAATCTAATTAAACAATAATATATTTAAATAGCATATAGCTAAAAAAAATTTTTTTATATATTACTAATTGAAAAAAAACTTTAAACAAAAGCAACTTTTTGATCTTAAACTATTTACTTATATAAATTTACAAAATGTATTATGAAAAGATTTTGCTATATTTTTAGGGCTATATAGATTTTAAATAAACTTTTTACCCTATAAAAACTAAGTTTTAACAATTTAAAAAAGTTTATTTAAATAGTTTATTAAATAATTAATTTTAAAATTTTGATATTTAACGTATAGTTTAACTTGTATTTTTTATTTACTGTAAATGATATCTGATATTAAAAATATTCTATATATACTGTAAATTATACAATATATATATACGTATACGTACAGTACTAGAAGATAGTGATTCTGGCCGATCATTATTTTAATCCAGAATTTCCTTGCTCGTATTTTAGAATCCCAGTTTTTGGTTATATGTAACAAGTCTTTTGAACATTAAATAAAATTTGTAAAAATGCGATTTTCAAAAACCTTAACTTTGATCACCAATAATAAATTAGGTTATAAAACATGTGATCATTATATATCGTGAAATTTTTTTTTTAGATCTAATCTAGAATTGCATCATGTCGGAGAATTCAAATTCAGCAGGAGATACTGCGTCTTGTCCAGTAAACCATTCGTCATGGTTTTCTATCTTTACACCTAAACCTTCTGTAGAACCTAAAAACCCTGTAACACTTCAATGTCCAGCAGACAACCGAAACAACCTTGAAGTATCTCCTGAATTTGCAAAAATTAATAAAAATGAAGGTTGTTCGAGTGAAACCTTAAATAATTATAATAAATCACTTCATTCCGATCAAAAATCTTCATCGGGTCAACGTATTCCCCTTGAAACAACGCGTCAGGTATCCAGCATTCCACGTACATTCTCTGATAGAGATAAAAATAGAACTAAAGAAAACGATATAATAGAAAAATGGATATATCCTTCAGAACAAATGTTTTTTAATGCAATGAAACGTAAAGATTGGGATCCTCAAGAAGAAGATATGCGTGTTATTGTACCAATACATAATGCAGTGAATGAGAAAGCATGGCAAGAAATATTAGAATGGGAAAAATTACATGAAAAGTAAGTTATGAATCCGTGATACAAAAAATTTTTTAAAATAATATAGATTTACATATTTGGCATACTACGATTAATTATCACAAATTGATAAAGCCATTGTGGTGGTCCGAAACTGGTAAAATTTCAAGGTAAAGCAAAAAACTTTACTCCAAAAGCCAGGTTATTCAATTTATTAGGGTATGTTCAAATTTATGAAATATTAGATTTATTATATTTGTTATATTTGTTATTATATGAATGTTCATTTCAACATTTTAAACATTTTCAACATTTTTCATCATATTTCAACTTTTACAAAATTTACACGTTTTCAATTAATCTTGTCTTACGAAAACAAGTTATAAGCTACCTTTTGATAGGCATGATTGGGTGATAGATCGGTGTGGAAAACAAGTAACGTATGTTATTGATTTTTATTCTGGACAACCTGACCCAAAATTACCATATTCCGTGAGTTTTTATTTGGATGTTCGTCCAGCCTTAACTTTGGATGGAGCTATTGATAGATTCCGAAGATGGATATATTTATTTATGGATCGAAATAATCAATCTGGAGGAAAATGTAAGTATAAAAAGCGAATTTTATACACTATTATACATGATAATACATGATTATACATAATAACAATTATCATTTTATCAAATAATAGAAATCATTTTGTCCAAAAAAAAAGTTTTGATTATGTTTTTCTATAGATACATGTTTATGGTAGAACTATATATTTTTGCAAATGACCTGGAATGGCACCTAAAAGGTTTTTAGTTTCTAACCATTTTCGACCTGCAATAATAATCATGATGAGTAAAGAAAAAAACGTTCGTCATTAGTTATAATTTTACAAATAATCCTTCAAGACTTACTGAACAATCGTGACTGATATCTATAAGCACCATCACATAAGATGGTGACAACTTTTTTGCCTAAATGATTAATAATGTCATTAACATAAAGTTGTATTTTATAGATATTATAAATAAAATAAAAAATACCTGGTCCTAATTGTTTTGCCATCTCTACGGCTGCAACAACATTTAATGCGGTTGATGCACCAATATAAAGTCCCTCTTCATCCAACAATCTATACACCATTTCAATAGATTTTTCATCAGGAATATACAACGCATCATCTATTAAATGTATATCACCAGCTAAATTATCCGTAACGCGACCTTGTCCAATACCTTCAGTAATTGAACTTCCGGAACGTTCCATTAATTTACCACCACTCTTAAAATATGCATATAAAACAGAACCTGGTGGATCAGCAATAAATACTTTAACTTGAGAATTTTTCTCTTTTAAAAAGCGAGTCACACCAGCAAGGGTTCCACCAGTGCCAGTGGAACAAGTGAAGCCATCAATTTGACCATTGGTTTGTTCCCAAATTTCAGGTCCGGTGGTTTCAAGGTGTGCACGTCGATTTGCAGTATTATCAAACTGATTAGTCCATACAGCGTTCTCAAGTCTCTCAGCATGACGGCGAGCTTGATGATTGTAATTCTCTGGATTATCAAAAGGAACAGCTGGTACCGGATGAACTTCGGCACCTGTTACTCATAAAGTACATAAATTGTTGTTCAGAAAGAAACCTTTTACATTAAAAAAATTCAATTCAATTAAATTCTTTTATTACCAAGCATCTTTAATAGATCAATTTTTTCTTGACTTTGTGTATTTGGCATATATATAACGCATTTATACCCTTTTGCTCTGCATACATGTGCAAGGCCAATGCCAGTGTTTCCTATCATAAAAATATTAAATCATATCAATGCTGGTCATATCGCCAATTCATTTTACGTATATTGTTTTACCTGCAGTGCCTTCTATAACGGTACCACCAGGTTTGATAAGACCTAGATATGCAATGTATAAATATCAATTTTGATAATTAAACATATATATGCATTCATTCTTTAAATTTACCTTTCTCTTCAGCTTCTTTGATTACATATAACGCAGCTCTATCTTTCACAGAACCGCCGGGATTCATAAATTCCGCTTTACCATAAATTTCCGAGCCAGTTTCTTTACATAATGTTTTTAATCGAATCTAAAAGTAATGTAAAACATGATAATTATTATTATTATTGAAATTCTTAATCTATATATCGTTTATCAAGAAACTTTTTTTTACTTACCAATGGTGTATTACCAATTGCACCGACGAATCCTTCCATAATCTTTTTTTTTTTTTTCAAATTTCATGTTAGATTAATGTAATGAATTATCAAAGTTATGATGAAAAACTACCTTTAACGTTGAAACAGTTGAATATAATCGTTGAGAGAGAAGTTTCCGCAACTGAAACATAATGACAATGACTTTTTAAAATGTGGGGTTAATTTATCCGAGAGTAACGATTGACAAATTCCCATATCTGATTTTTTTTTATGAATGGCAATCGATACTATTGTATTCATAATGAAAGGAATAAAAAACTTATTTCGGAAACTTTTTGAAATAACACGTGATATGATTTACATATAATAATATTACTAATTAAATCCTATCGGTTAATGTAGCTGAATATAGTTGTCTTTTTAATATCATGTTTAGTATGTTGATCGTTTATTCAAAGCAAACAGTCTTAAAATGGTATCATTTAACATTAAACGTTAAATACTACAAAGGAATAGATCTGGTTTTTCCAACCAAATCTCGTTTGGTCTTTTTTTTTTAATAAAGTTATCGTGAAAGGTCGGGTCCTTCCATATATTTACAATATTTAATTAATCAAAATCATGTGTGCTGCAATAAATGACAAGAATGGTATCAAATTGTGCATTTTGCTTAGAAATAAATTGAATTAATTTTTCCAAAGTTCATCGTTTACCAAAATAAATATACATTTAAAAAAACTATGTCGCACATTTATAAGTAGATAATATCAATATTAAAATGTTACCATAAATATAGCGATAAGGATAAATACAATTTTTCAAATGGTACTGGACAGCTATAAAGAAAACTTATTATTGATTTAAATTTTAATTATTTAAAATAACGTGAAAAATAATGTGATAAATTTCGCGTGCCAATTTTGGAATTAAAAAAAATGATAAAGTAACCAAGATATGCAAATAATCTAAAAAGAATTAATGTAGTGAAAAGTAATTTCATCACTGATATCTGCAAATTATTACTAACATTTAAAATGACACTAACGCTTTCCCGCCCTCGTAACCAATTCTATTAGCACAAAGATTTAAATTAAGTTAAAGTTTTTTGCAAAGAGAATTTGCTAGTGCATTCTCATCTCAAAACCAAGTTGATTATCTTGAATTTAAAGAAATCAACGTTTTGTTTAAAAAAAGTGCATTTGCTAATTCTTTTCCTCTTCCAGATCTAAACTCATGAAATTAAGAAAATCAAGGTAGAGTGTTACAAAATGCATTTGTTAATGCTTTTTCTCCTTTATGGTTAATTTGGTTAGATGAAAGATCTAAAGAAGATAAAGAAGCATTATTGCAAAGAGAATACTGTATTGTCGTGAGATAACGTCCATTTAGAGTATTGCCCGAATTAAGCTTAATTTAGGCTAAAATTTGAAATTACACACCTGCACGTTATTTCGTGACAATACAGTACTCTTACTTTAAAAGAATAATAATACATTAATGTTTACAATTCATAAACTTTTTATAAAACAATATAAAATTAAACATGGAAATTGTTATTTAATTAGCTACTTGTATCTTTTGACTCTAGAATAGATTTTTATATTTGTTTCTATAATTTTTTGGACTATATTTATGCAGAAACTAGATTGTATATAAAACAGCATATTTGTAGATAGCTAACAAAATTATTTTTGCAATGATAAAATTGATGAAACTATAGAAAGATTATTGATGAAATTAATAAAGCAAGTTATTTTATCAGTTTTTCATTTATAATATATATATTTTTTTTAATCTTAGGCTGTGTTTTATTAAAATTCTAAATATATTAGTATATTAATACACCTGTTTACTCTTAATTTGAAAACCTGATATCATCTGGCTGTCTTTAAAATGTCCAATCCACTGCACTAATCTGAAGTTTAAAATTAGAGGCTTATGTTAAACTAGTCTAATTGCTACACTATAATAGCTTCTTCTCCTCTTTGTATTACTTTAACTAACAAGGGATTTACAAGGGCAAAATAAAGAAAGAAGGTTTAAAAAAATATAAAAAATATAAAAAATATAAAAAATACAAAAGTAAAAATAATAATCAATGAAAATAATAAAAATAAAAATAAAAATAAAAAACTATATGATGGACAAAAAGGCTAGTCTAATATAAAAAAACTATTCTAAAAAAAATTAAAAAACTAGAAGAACTTGGCTAACAAAAAACAGAGTCTAAAAAAACACACTATTATAACCTGTGTTAGGCTCAAAAAAATTATATAACAAATACAATATTTATATATTTCAAGTATAAAACTTTGTTTTAATATATATTTTTCTTACTAACTATATAACCACCTTTAAGTACTTCTTTCAATAAAAAAACATTTTTAGTGCTGTTTTGTACAAATTTGCAAAAAAATTAAATAATAAATTAATAAAAATCTGTACAAAACTTCAGACTTACTAGTTATAGCTATAGAAATTAAATATAGTTTTATGCAAAATTTTAAAATATAAAAATTTTGTATTTTTTTGCAAAAATCCTGCAAAAGTTAGCATTTTTGCAGATTTTTGCAAATTTGCATTTATTTAATTTTTCCAATATCATTTAGTGAATGTTCTATTCTTTTGCAATTCTTTCTTCAAACTTTTAACAGTTCTAATTTTTTTTTTTGCTAGATTATTTTTTATAAGCCTCAAATATTTGATTAGAGAATATTAACAGCTATAAAAAAACTTTTACAACTATTTTTTTTTTTTAAGTTTTACAATTTTGAATTATATTTAGAATTATTGTTTTCTTGAAAAACCTATTTATAATTTTCTTGACTAAAAAGTTAGTTAGCAGTAGTGCTTCTAGGTCCGGTCTAAGTCTAGTTCAGAGTCAACTAGACTCAGACTCTAAATTTTACTAATTTCAAACTTTATACCAGACTCAGACTTAATTATGAGTTCAGTCTGGGTCTGGTCTGAAGTCTGCAAACTAGTTCGAGTTCAAATATGTTTAAATATAATTTTTGGTACTTAACAAGATTACTTAGTACATAAAGTTAAAATTAATTAGTAAAATTTTGCAAATCATAAGATTTTATAAAATTTTATTAATAAACTTTTATAAAATCTTATAATTCACAAATTTTTATTAATTAATTCTAACTTTATACACTAAGTAAACTTGTTTAGCATATAAATATACATCAAAACAGCTAAATTATTTTTATCTTACTTTAAATTTAGAGAATAAATATATAATTTTGAAATTTTAATCAAAAAATCAAATTTAAGTATCCTTTCTCCAAATTTCAAGTAAAATAAAAATAATTTAGCCAAATTAATATATTTTTAAGTGTTTAACAAAATTATTTAGTATATAAAGTTAAAATTAATTAGTAAAATTTTGCAAATCATAAGATTTTATAGAATTTTATTAATAAAATTTTATAAAATCTTAATATTCACGAATTTCTATTACTTAATTATAACTTTACATATTAAATAAACTTGTTTAGTGCCTAAAAATATATCAAAACAGTAGAATTTATTTTATCTTATTTAAAATTTAAAGAATAGATGTATAATTTTAGAATTTTGATTAAAAAGTCAAATATAAGCATCATTTCTTCAAATTTCAAATAAAATAAAAATAATTTTGCTGATTTAATATATTTTTAGATGCTGAATGAGTTTACTTAGTATATTAAATTAGAATTAATTAGTAAAATATTCTGAATAATAAAATTTTATAGAATTTTATTAATAAATTTTATAAAATCATATGATTAACAAGATTTCTCTAATTAATTTTAACTTAGTATACTTATTAAACTTATTCAGCACTTAAAAATATATTAAATTAGCAAAATTGTTTTTATTTTACTTGAAATTTAGAGAAAAGATGCTTAAATTTGTCTTTTTTGATCAAAATCTCAAAATTATGCATTTATTCATTAAATTTCAAATAAAATAAAAATAATTCTGCTGTTTTGATATATGAAGAAAGTTAATAGAAATGAGACAAATTTATTAAATAGATTTGTTCTATTTCTATTGACTCCCCCCATATTCTTAAATGCTAAACAAGTTTACTTAGTATGTAAAGTTATAATTAATGGTTAGCATTTCACTTTTGTACTACCAGTAGTATAGTTAAAAAAAATTTAAAAAATTATAAATTTAAATAATTTTTATATACAAAAATCTGATAAATATACCAAAATAGATTAGTTGTATTTTTTTTTTATATTATTAATAAAGTTGTTGAGAAAAAAAATTTTTTTAAACTGTTACTTTTGGTGAATTTTGGTGTA